GCAGCCCAGCTCCAGGTTGATCCGTTGTTCAGCATCTTAGCTGTGGAGGGCAGTGTCACTGGCCCTCGTATGTGGGATCCGAACCGGGGCCCTCTGGCGTCCCAAGCCAGCTCCCAACCAACGCGCCACTCGGCCGGCCCTACTTTTTGAGTTCTGACCCCTCAGATGTCACAGAAGAAATCCCATAAACGCCCCTCCACCCCCACTCCTGCTTCTTGGCACCAGGCTTTTCCCCAAGATGTTACCTGGCAGGCTTAGGTATCTCTTCCTGAATTGTTTGGTTTTTTATTTGTTTTTGTTTTTGTGACCGATCACCCCAAAGGTGTAAAGCAGGCCCTCTGGCTTACCAAGACCAAGTTGATAGAAGGCCTTCCCAAAAAAGTGCTCAGCCTTGTTGACGACCCAAGGAACCACATAGAGAACCAAGACGAACGTGTTCTGAATGCGATCTCTCATGCCCGTCTCTGGCACTCCACTGAAGACATCCCCAAGAGAGAGACCTACTGGTACGTTTCCCCCTAGTCAGTAAGAGTTCTGGTTGATGGAGTTTGGAGTCAACCTGTTGCTTTATGTCTCCAAATGTTTCTTCTTTGCCCCAAGCCCAGTCATTGTGGATAACCTGATACAGCTGTGTAAATCCCAGATTTCCAAGCATCCTTCTCTGGCCAGACGGATCTGTGCCAAAGGCTACGCGTCATGTACCACGTGGACTCGAGGTTGGTCACCTTGTATGTCAGAAAGCCTTAGTCTGTTTTTTAATCTTCTACTCTTAGCCCCTCCACCAGCTCACATTCCCCCACACACACCTCCCCATATGTATCCTCACTCCCATCCTTCATGGTCCAATTTTGTAGACTGAGACACATCCTTAATATCATTAGCCATAGCCCAGCTATTAATTTAGCCATATCTATTGAGTGCCTACAAATGCCTAAATGTTGACCATAAAGAAGTAATAAAGCACACACAGTCTCTGCCCTCACTGAGCTCATGTTCTATTGCAAGAGCCTTCTCGCCCCATGCATGCTTTTCTCCTTTTCCCAGTCCATTGTCCACATAGCTGCTAGAGTGATCTTCTAAAGTGCAAGCCTTCTTATGTCCCTCCCGTTTCAGATCCTTCACGGGTCCCAGTAGCTTAAGCCTGTTATCATGGCATCCAAGGCCTTGTGTGATTTGGCCACCCACCTCGTCTTTGTGGTCTTCTCTCCTCTCCCACTGCCCACCCCACCCCCAATCCCGAGGTACACTTTAACCACTTGCAGCTTTTTGGCATCAAGCTTGTACATCTCGGTGCCTGCTGTACGTCGTCTGGAATGCTCTTTTCTACTTTCCTCATTTGACTAAATTCATAGCTATAAGACTCAGCTCAAGCCCCCTTCCTGTGAGAATCCGCAGGTTAGCTATTCCTCCTGTGTGCTCCTTATGCCCATCGTGCATATTTTTATCAGTGCGCATACTTCGCTGTGTATTCTATTATAATTTTCTAATATCTTTTCTGTGTGCCCCACTAAACTGTGAACCTCTGATGGCAGGGACCATATCTTACTCATTTTTGTCCGCAGTAGCTAACAGTTCATGGTACTCAGTAGGTGTTGACGGAAGGGGCAGGTGAATGAACACTAAATCTCAGGCGTTTCAGGAAGGGATGTTCACAGTACACAGGTGTTATAATTGGTGGCATCCTGGAGCAGAGAAACCCGCTATGGAATAATTTGGGATTTTCAGGACATCTGCTTGGTCAGGTTTCTCCAGCTTGCCCCTTTAAGTATGGACTTCCTGGCAAGGAATCAGCTTTGCAGAGGTAATAGCACCGCTAAGGAAATTAGTGAACCTCATTAATAGAAGAGTACTTGTTGGCCCATCATCAAGCATTACCTCTAATTAAACTGCCCCATTTGGAGCTGTCACTGGAGGAGGGATGTGGAGGGAATTGAATTGGAAACCACACTAGAGTGGTCTGTGGGGAGAATCTAAAACCCAAGGTTAGGAGAGGTCCAGACATTTATCTTCCTTGCAGATTATATGTGAGGAAACAGGAAATACTTTAGAAAACTATTCTTGAGGTGTGGGTATGATGTATTTTAATTAGCAGATCAGTTTATCCACGGACGTAGTATCCCTTTTTTACACACTCGGTAAGGAAGGCCACATGCTCATTAAATGACAGTGCTGTTGACCAGACCAGTTTTTAGACCCATAAGCTTATCAACCTTGATCCTCACTATCACACTGCAATTTGACTATTTCTAAAAACCCAAGCACCTTCAAAGGAAGATTTGCCTCCATGGAGAATCCTCAGAAGGCCATTCTCAAGTTTTCCCAGGCACATTTCGCCTGGTGGTGGCATGCAGCCTCCTGTTGGGACCTCTGAAGGGCTTCTACACACATTCACAATTGCAGGCTTGCTGATTTTTCTTCATACACCTATGTCTCCATGTAGCAAATAGGCTAATCTAACCATTTTTAAATGGACCGGTTTTTTTTATTCTCAGTTGTTGAGGACAGTCTGGCCTGTTCCTGGGTTTAATAGCCTTTCTGCTCAGTTTGTAGTCTCAGCACTTCTCTCTCTATCCCTCCCTCCCGCCACAGTCCTCTAGTCATCTGGACTTACTCCCTAAACTCTGCCATGGAGTAGCACGCCTCTGTGCCTTTGCACATGTCATTCCTCCTAAATTAGAATGCTTTTCCCCCACTTTCTTTGCCTGGCAAAACCCTTACCCAGCGGTTCTCATCCAAGGGCAGTTTGGCCCTCTAGGAGAGATGGCCGATGTCTGGAGACATTTTTGATTATTGTGACTTAGATCAGGGTGGGGACATGTAGGGGCGTTCTTCTGGAATCTAGGGGATAGAAGTCAGGGATGGTGCCAGATATCTACAGGGCAGCCTCCCTCACCAAAGAATTACCTGGTCCAAAATGTGAATAGTGCCAAAGCTGAGAAGCTCTGCTCTTATCCATCCTTTGGAAGCTTGTTTGAAGGTGTTCTCTCTTCCAGGAAGCCTCCCAGGCCGTCTTCAAGTATGGCTAACACTTTCGTTGTAGCACTTACTACCTGGCGAGCTACTTGACAGCAGAGAGTAACTCTCACCCATTTCTGGGTACGCAGCTTAGAGCAGGTGCTTGAGGCGATCTGTATAGGACAGCCTGAACCCACAGAGACCACGAGGCCTCAGGGTCACTAGAAGGGGAACATAGGAAGAAGAGTGCCTCGGTCAGTACCCCTCCCAAGAATCCTAGGATTAGCATCTTAACTAAAGTTTTGTTTCCTGTGATTAGGCTGATCAGCTCGGAAAGCTGTAAAAGACTTTAGCGTGGCAGGATGAAGCTGAGATAAAGCTTTAGACCTGGTTACACCAGGGGTCAGCAAAGTTTTGAGACGGAAGAGCCAATCCTGTCCCTCACAACAATTTAAAGATTATTCGAGAGCCATAAATATATTTTTACAAATAAGGAAAATTTAAAGTAATATTATAACAAGTAATAGTATTAATTATATCTTTATTAAGATAAGAAAAACTCGCACATGTATGTACCCAAAGAGCCGCTGTAGCTCACGAGCTGCAGTTTGCTGACCCCTGGGTTAAGACTAATCATCTTTCTCCCCTTTTAGAATCTATCCTCCTTCAGGTCCGTGGTTCCAGCGAAGCCCGACTGAGTGCCAGGGACCCTCTGCCCCCCATCGCCTCCAGGGAGGAGGTTGAAGCTACTGAGAACCATGTTCTTGAGACCTTCTATCCCATATCTCCCACTGTTGACCTTCAGGAATGCAATGTTTATGATGTGAAAGACGAGAGTGGTGAGTATCGCGGCCTTTCACTTCAGGCAGCGTGGAGATGAGGGACGTGCTTTTTCCGAAGGGTAGGGCTGTATTGAGTACTTACCATGTGCTAGGCACCTCACATGCATTTCCTCCCAAGATCCGTGGAGCAGCCCTGTGAGACAGGTGCTGTTATCCCCATTTAATAGGCAAGGCAGCTGAGGCTCAGGGAGGTTGAATGATTTGCTCAAAGGCTGACTTTGCTTTTGACCCTTGAAAAGCAACTCTTACATCAGAGTTTTAATGGGCGGCTTTTGAGGGACTTTTGATCAAGGGCCAAATGTTTCCTGTATTCATAGGGCCCTTGAAAGATCCCCTCTTTCTGTGCACCCTGTAAACTCTGGCTCACCTCCTGGTAGGGCTAAGGAAGCCCCACAGGCCCTGAATGGCGCTCTTCATCCAAACGCCATTAAATAAGGCACCACCATCCACCCAGCCAGCCCAGACAAAAGCTAGGCATCAGGCTAGGCAGGCACGATTTCTGCCATCCGCTCAGTCATTCTAGGCGGCAGTGTCCGCTTCCCTAATCTCTCTCCATATCCGTGCTGCAGCCTAGGTCAGCCCCTGCTGTCTCTCACCTCACCTGCTGCCACAACCTCCCAACTGGCCAGTCTGCCCCAGGCTGTTTTCTCTCCAGTACACCTAGTTCACAATTCCAGAGTAGCCTTTCTCAAACTCAAATTTAATCCCATCTCTCTCCATGCCCCCCTCCCCACTGCCTGTTGGATAAAGTTAGAACTCCTTAGCTTATCACGTGAGGGCTTTCAGGTCTGGCCTCTGCCCCTCTCTCTAGCCTCACCTTGGTCTGCCCCCCAGCAGGCCCCCTGTATTCCAACTATACTTAATGCATTGTGCGCTTACTCACCACCATGCTTTGACACATGCTCTTTGCTTTCTCTCCTCATCTTGCATAATTCCTATTAGGAATCACTTCCTCCCAGAAGTGCTCTGGGACCTTCTAGTCTCACCAAGGACCTTTCATCTTTCCTCCCACAGCCCCCCGACCCACCTTGTATCTTGACGTGCCCCTCTGTATGGATATGATCAGTTTTCCTGTCTGTCTTCCCCTGTAGTCTGTGAGTTCTTCAAAGGCAGTGGCAGGCCCTGCTTGGCCTCTGTTCCTGGTACCTGTCTTAGATCCTGGCACAGATGCTGAGTGTTGGGTGTTCACTTGTGCAGAGGAAGCGATGAAGCATTGAGGCAGATGGGAAAGCCATGTCTCTCTCAAATAGTGCTCTTCTCTGGGATTTCCAGAACCCACATTTTCCTAGCCTCTTTCTTCCTTTTCACCCGCTTTCACTACTCCAGGTTGGTCATTCTAGAAGCCCCAGCCTACCAAGGGTTTACCCAAAGCCAGTGCGAGGGAAAAGAATGATGACCTGGCAGGGTCATGGCTGAGAGGAGCAAGTGCTAAACTTTGTTTCTCAGCATCTGTGCTGTGCAGATAGCTGTGAGTTCCGCGGCAAGTCACTTGTTACTAATTAATAAAGTATTGGATTTTGCAAATGATTTGCTTTTTAAAAAAATTATTACCGTAGGTTTCAGGTTATCCTCCTGCTGATATCACTATCGTCCGTGTGCTTGAATGAGAGAGAAAGGGGTGGAGTTAGACCTAGCACGCAAGAATCACCTATAACAGGTGGCAAACATTTTCTGTAAAGAGCCAAATAGTAAATATTTTAGATTTTGCAGGCCACATATGTTCTCTGTCACAGTTGCTCAGTAGACATTATGTAAATGAGTGGGCAGGGTTATGCTCTAGTAAAAATTTTGTTTTAAAAAATAGGCAGGGGCCTTGGTGTGGCCGGTTAGCTTAGTTGGTTAGAGTGTGGTGCTGATAACACCAAGGTTGCCGGTTGGACCCTCGCATGGGCCACTGTGAGCTGCGCCCTCCTTAAAAATAAATAAATAAATAATAAATAAAGATAGGCCGGGGCCAGACTTGGGTGGCAGGCCGGAGTTTGCCAGCTCCCAAGCTAGTGTGATAGACAGCGTCTGCCTCTCCTACGTCTCCATAGTGCCAGGCACTGAGCTAAGGCGAGGACTTTCCTGAGGCTTGGGGCAGGCTGACTGATCTTTTCTGCCCTCCGTGTGGTTCTGTATCCTGCAGGATTCCGGGAGGGCTATCCTTACCCCCACCCCCATACGCTGTATTTCCTGGAGACGGCCCATTCACGACGGTACCGCTTTCGGCCAGACCCACTGCGGGCCAAGATGATCCTGTTTGCCTTTGGCAGCGCCCTGGCCCAGGCCCGGCTTCTCTATGGGGTACGTATGTGGGGAGGCCCTGGAGCTGCTTACGTGAGGGGCCTCCTGTCTTACACCCCTCAGAGAAAGGAAGAGGGTGAGGGCGTCCCTGCTCGACTGATGGATTTTAGAGAGAGGCACCTCCACTCACCCTGTGGAGATGAACTGACATCTGCTGGGGGCCTACTGTGTGCCTGTCTTTTACATAAGATGCCCCATGTGTTGATCGCAGTAGCCCACACAGCTTCATTGTGACCCCCAGTTTTCAAATTATGCCACTGAATCACAGGGAGGCCAAGCCGCTTGTGTAGCATTACATAGCAGTAAGTAGTGCAGAAAGGATGGGAACTAGGTGTACCCAGCTCCTAAGGTCTCGGTTCGCATTCCAGCATGTCGCCTCTGTTCCGTAGGGTTGGAGCCGGAGCACTAGGCTCCATCAGGCAGGCAGGAGAAGCGAAGCAGTAGAGTGGCCCAGACCTGCCTGCCAAGTCGACAGCTTCTGGGGACCCAGGATACCCCTTGGTGGTAGCCCCTTGATTCTAAGAGGAGGCCTCAGGGACCTAGATGATGTGGAATGCAGGCGGAGTGGTCGTCACCCAGAGCTGTCCCAAGGTTGGGAGAATGCCTCTTCCGGGAGCAAGGGGTGAGGGGAGTGTTTTTGAGAGCTGCTGCCAGCGCCCGGGTCTCGGTCAGAGCATAGGCCCTCCTGGGGGAGTGAGGACTCAGAACGCTGTGTTGCCCATCCTGCTCTTTCTAGGAACTAGGTAGGGTTGGGAGGCGTGGCCAGCCAAATGAGCTAGGGAGTGGAATGGACCTTGCCGGTGCTGAGCATCTGCTACATGCAGACATTTAATTAGGGTACTTTATATCAGTGGTTCTCAGAATACGGTCCTGGGTTAGCAGCACGAGCATCTTCTGGGAATTTGTTGGAAGTGCAGATTCTCAGACCTACCCCAGACCTACTGCATCAGAAACTCGGGGAGGGGTGGGGGGCCTGGCAGTGGGTGTTGTAACAAGCCCTCCAGGTGATGCTGGTACAAGCTCAAGATTGAAAACCACTGCACTAAAATTTGAGAACCACTGCATTATGTAATCCTTGTAGTAAATGAGGCAGATATTACTAGCCTCATTTTACAGATAAAGAAACTGAGGCTCAGGGAGGCTAAGCAACTTGCCCAAGGTCACACAGCTAAGAGATTGGCAGCCGTCATATCTTTATGTGACCTTCCTGTGACTTTTCAATCTCTAGAAGGTTATCTTTATTTCCACTCTGTGTACTTCCTAAAGGCTCTGGAAAGTTGGGTAACTTGCCCAAGATGCCCCAGCTAATGAGTGGGTTGCCCTCCAGCTTCGAAGGATGTACTGCCTCTCATCTCTAGGGCAGGAGAAGGAGGCAGAGATAGTCACGTGCCAGGTCCCAGACCTGCAGGCTCATTGTAGCTTCTGTGCCAGCCATTGCCAGCAGAACACGGGTAGCAATGCTGCCACTAATTGCCACCCAGTTGGGTAGGAAAGGAGGCCGCCCTCGCCCCCTCCAGGTACAGATTATTCCTGGGGATGTGAAGTTGAGCAATTATGGGAAGAGCCTCTGTGTAAAAGGTAAAATCGCTGAGAAATTTATGTACTACCTGCAGTTTTATTGATCTGTAGAGGGAGATAAGAGTCAATACAGAATTCTCAGCTAACACTTAGAGGTACTTTTCTTTTTATTTATTTCTCATGCAGCTAAGAACAGGTATTTCTAAGGCCAACAGTCCCGGTGTGGCCCACACTGAGGCCTGACATTAGCTATTCCTAATGTTAGATTCAGCTCCGGAGGAGTGAATGGAGGCAGCGTTTTCAAATCAAGGATGCTGTGCTTCGTGGGGCCTGCCGATTGTCCAGTGGGTAGCCATCACCAAACTGGGTTGCTGCAAAGGCTCAGTAGGGTGAATGTACGATTTGTCATCCAAACTGGGACACTACTGAGAGTGAAAAGAGGTGCTGCTATCAAATACAAGGGAACACTGGGTATAGACCAGAACAATAGAGTTTTAAGTGATTTAATAGGATGGGTTCTGATCCTGGCTCACATCTCATAGGTAACCATGAGCAAATTATACCACCTCTCTGAACCTCAGTTTCCTCATCTGTTAAGTGGAATATGCTGCTTGATGTGAGATTAGAGGTGACTTTACGTAAAACTGGCACAATGCCTGGCACATGAGAGGCCTTCAGGAAATGGTTGCTAGCATTATTATTATTACCAAGTAGCACTCACCGAAAGATAATTAGCAAATGTGTTAGCTGGTGAAATCCTGCTGCTGACAGGGCTGGAGTGGACACTCCAGGAATCTGGCATGTTCTCAGGGCTGCACTGAGAGCATGAAGCCCAGGTAAGATGACTGCCTGCATTCCAGGATGCCAGGCCCTTAGGAGCAAGGCAGCAGTGGGAGATGAGCATGGCGTAGCGTTAGCCAGTCTGCGTTCTAATGCCACACACCTTTGTGACTTCCGACAAGCCACTTGCCTCACTCGGGCTCAGTTTCCCCATCTGTCAAATGGAGTGAGAACTGAATGAGATTATATATGTCCACTGACCCTCCAGGTCACATCTGATAGAGCTGATGTCACTGGTGTTGCCATCAGGTCATGCCAGGAGCTTGAGGGGTTTCCCGTCGTTAACTTCCCAGCTCACCTTCCTGCCCTGTGCTGCTTGCCCGGTAATCACCTCTCAATGTTATGAATTATTACTTTAATGTGCTGAACTTGAAGAGCAGGCACCCTGGGGCCACAAGGCGTCAGGCCAGGCAGAGCCAGGCTGGCTGAGGGAGGAAAGGCCTGGCCCTGGTCGGTGCCCTGAGCTCCTCATTCTGTCTCCATTGCCCCGTGGTGAAGCCAGGAGATGGGATTGGGCATGGATTGGTTTTTAAGGCCAGAACTGGCAGCTGCCTGGTCTGTGCTGTTCCTTACACCCTGCCATTTCTGACTTGGTTCCTTGTCCCCTTTCCTCTCAGAATGACACTAAGGTTTTGGAGCAGCCAGTAGTTGTGCAGAGTGTCGGCACCGACGGACGTGTCTTCCAGTTCCTGGTGTTACAACTGAACACCACAGATCTGGCCTCTAATGAGGGCGTCAAGAATCTGGTCTGGGTGGACTCAGACCAGCTCCTCTATCAGCATTTCTGGTGTCTCCCAGTGATCAAAAAGAAGGTGGTTGTGGTAAGTCCAGCCATCTCCAGCCTGTGACTGGAGCAGGGCCATGACTCACCTACCCAGAGTGGGCAGTGCTGTTGAGTGGGACGCTCAGTAGCTTGAGGAGCTTCATGCCCAGGACCTCTGCCTGGAGGGCCCCTTCAGCCTGCCCATCGCCCGAGGAGCAGCTTCCACCCCGGGCCCTGCCCAGCTCTTCAACTCCCCTCCCGGTTCCCTCAGCACCCACCACGCCCAGCCCCTCACAGCTCCCCAGTGTGCCCTGCACATAAGTAGCTCAGAATCTTAGATGCTGCACAGGAGACTTCCTCTCCCTCCCCCCACCCCACCCCCCATGTCTCTCTCCTCTGGGCATCCTCTACCCGACCTTCCAGATTTAGCATAAGGACCCACCAGCCCACTCCCAGTGCCTCGGGTGTGTTCCCACAGCCCGAGTGCCCACATTACAGCACGGTCACCAGCCCAGCCCCTCGCTCCTCCAAGGCAAGGCCTGTGATGGTTCCTTTGCTCATCTCACTCCCTAGACGGAATCCCTTCCACGGCATCATCACTGCCGCACCCCCAGGGCTCAGCGGGCAGAGCCCAGGCTGACTTTCTGTGCAGTGGGCAGCAGCAGCATCTAAATACATTCATCATATCACAGGCAGTGATAAGCTCTCTGAAGAGACATAAAGCAGGATCTGGGGGGAGAGAAAACAGGATGTGACTGGCTGTGTCCTGTGGCCCAGCCGGCCTGAGTAGACGTGCTGAGTGGAGTTGCTGTGGAGCCTTTGAATATTATCAGCATGTCAGTTCCCCAGCATTGGCCGATGTATCTGCCCTGGACGTGCCTCCCGGGTCAGGGCCCTTCTCTCCGGCCCTCACCTGCACAGCCACACCAGCCACCTCCGCATCGGTCTGTCTCCCCTGCGTGTCTGCAGGTCCTCTTCCTTCCAGAACCCTAACTTAGTGTCGGACCGTCCTGGTTTGGTCAGATGGCTCCACCTTACCTCCCCAGTTCAGCTCCTGCCGCCACCTGCCTCTCCCCCCGCCTGCTCCCCTCCCACCCGCGGGGCCCTGGGCTCCAGCCTCCCCCGTTCTTCGGCCTTGGTTTCTGCCTCTGCTCGCACATAGGGGTCTTCCTGGTCTCCTTCCTTTTTTCTTTTCCTTTCTGGCCCATTCTGCTTGCCCTTTAAGACTCACTCATACGTGGTCTCTTCATTGTGTGGAAGTCAGTGAGTTAGCCATCTTCTCCCCTGTTTTCTTAGCATCTTTTTCCTACTTCCATTATGAGGCCTGACACCTTTTATTACCGCTGTTTGAACACCTGGCTGTGTGAGGGCAGGAGCCAGACTCAAGTCACTGGGTCTCCAACAGCTGGCACAGGCCCAAGACAGAGAGAAGCTGCCTGATAAATGGGTGTGGAATGAGTGAGGGCTTATTGTCCCTGGGAATGAAAAGGGGCAACAGACCATTTGTTCATGGTGGTTGAAGTGAGAGGGATTTGAGATCAGGTCAGTGGTAACAGACGTGACTGGAAGGTGCCAGGAGCTCTGCCCATCGTCCTTCCTGACCCAGCCCCTCAGGCCTCTGGTGCCAGCTCCCCAGTGCTCCTCCTTGGTCCGTGAGAGAAAGAAACAATTACTATCCAGGCACTGAGGATTCACATAAAACCGACCTTTGTTTTAATTGCTGCCATTAAACCTAGAAGCAGGGTTCTAATGGGCTGTGTCTTTTCCAGGAACCTGTTGGGCCGATTGGTTTCCAGCCAGAGACGTTCAAGAAGTTTTTAGCTCTGTATCTGCACGGTGCTGTGTGAGTCAAGGACTGTTCTGAGGCCTGAAGCGCCCCCTGGACATCCTGCCTCCTGGGCGGTGCTGGGGCCGCCTGGAGCCGCTGCCGTTTTGGCCCGGTGGGCTTGCCCGACAATAAAGTTTCCGGTGCATGGAAGCCTGTGCTTGGTGTGAGGATGCGGGGTTGGGGGTGCCGGAGTCTGACCTGCCCTGCTCTGCCCAAGACCCATTTTGTGACTTCAGATAAGAATACTCACCTCTGGGATTGTTTAAATTGTGGACACATTCACAATGACTGGAAAATCTGAATCAAAGACTCACTGTAGACTTCTCACTGGTATCCTGGGTGATGGACCAGCACATACTTGGTTCAGCTGGTCTCTATTTGTTCTAATAACGTAAGACCTACTCTGGGCCAGGCACCTGTACACAGCATCTTGTTTAATCCTCACACAACCTTGCAAGGTAAATGGCATTTCCATATTCAAGAAAAATCTCAAGCACCTGCTATGTGCTGGGCTGAGGAAAACACAGATAGTGTAAGGAACTTGCCCAAGGTCACACAGCCGGTGCTTTAGGTCAGTTTCCCTACAAAACACTTTGAGATGGAGATTTGCAGGTGAAAGTATGGGGAGAGCCTTGAGGATCAGCACCTGCGGGGAGTGATGGCAGCACTGGGCTGAGGAGCAGCTGCGCTCAGTGGGTTTGCTCCTGAGGCCCCGGCCATTTCAGTTCTGTGGATGCCCTGGAGCAGAGTGGTCCCACCCGGAGGCGAAGTGCTGAGCCTTTCTACAAACACCATTAGTCTGTCACCAGTCGTTGGACATACACTGCTCCCCAGAGCCGGAGAGACCTTGGGTTAGACGGCCTTGTTGGGCTGAGCACAATTCCCAGAGGGACTGTGCTGAGAACAGTTAGCCTCAGACACTTCCTGCTGCTGGAGGTCTCTGAAGAGACCTGAAGCGCACATCACACCCACCACAGCGGGGAAACGGCAGAGCTGCATTTGCAGCCCGTGGGGACCCCCAGGCTCGTGCTCCTTCCACTTGACAACTTCTCTTTCCCGCTGGGTGGGGGTGGGGTGGCAGGCGGGATCACCAGGGAAAGGACAGACTGGTGCGTGTGTGAAGGGGTTACTGGGAAAAGGCAGCATGGTGTGCAAAAGCCGGGAGTCAAAGGATCCCAGTGAGGAGGGGAGGCTGGAGTGAGGTTTGAGGGGCCTGGAATGCCAAGCACCCCAGGCTTCCCATGGCAGGTGACCTGGAGCCAGGGAGTTCACTGAGCCCTGTTGTCCATTTTACTCCGTATTTCAAAGATAAGAATTATTACATATAAATGGTGAAAATGTAGAGAACTCTGAAAAGTATGCTATGAAAGCGAAGTCACCCCACCCAAGGCAATCCCTAGTCCTTTTCCCACTTTAGTTTCTCATGTAGTAACCAGGAAAGTGTATGTATAATAAAGCATAGATGTGCATTACTTACTGTCATCCTAGTTAGAGACTCTTCCACACCTTTTCTCACCGAATACCTTGGGATGGCAGGATCTTGCCACATCAGCACACACGAGCTACCTTGTTCGTTTGAGCAGCTGCATTAATACCTATCGATGGACATTCGGGTTATTTTCAGCTGTTAGCTATTACAAATAATGCTGCAGTGAGCATCTTTGCTCATGTATCTTAAGAGTACTTTTGCCAGCATAGCCATTGAATAAATTCCTAGCAGAATAGCTGAGTCAAAGGGATTTTTTTAAAAAACACTGGTGGTGTGTGGAGGATGAGTTGGCAGGGTGACTATACGGAGCCCAGCTGGGGCCCATTGTAATTCTTGGGCGAGTGGTGATGGCTTGAAGCCAGGCTGAGCAGGCGGAAGCCCCCTGGACCGGTGGAAGCATGGGGAAGGCGGGCAAAGCAAGTCTTAGTCAAGTCTGTGGGATGCAGGCTGAGAGTAAGCGGACAGTCAGCAGATGACCTTGCAGCTTGAGGACTGGAACAGGGCCAGTGTCGCAAAGCAGGCCTGGGCAGCATGCCCTCGTCCCAGCCCACCTGGGTGAGGACAGCCATAATTGCTTGGACTTGGGAACTAAGCTGTGGAGCCTGTCACCCACTGCACTCCCTTCAAGCCCCTTGCAGCTGATCTGCAAGGTGGGGATGGCAGGACTGGAGGTTTTCATCCTCCCCATACAAATGAGGAAACGGGCTCAGAGACCACACGATGTAGTGTGAAGAGTTGCAAAGCTCACAAGCTGCCCCCTCCACAGAGAAGTGCCCACGTCTCCAAATCCCACATGCCCACCTACCTCATCCTCACCACCTTCTTATGTCCCTTTCTTCCTTAAACACAGGAAGGGAGGAGTGGCCTGTTGGTTAAGAGTTGGCTTGGGACGCAGCTCTGAGCAGCAGGTCCCTGGTTCAGATCCCACATTAGGGCCAGTGATGCTGCGCCCTCTACAGCTAAGATGGTGAACAACAGCTCAACCTGGAGCTGGGCTGCCGTTAGTCGCTGGCAACGGCGTAGGCTACAGTGGGCTGGCGTGAGCTACCGTGAGTGGCCGGCAGCCAGTGTGAGTAGCCGGCAGCTGGCGTGAGATGCCGTGAGCGGCCGTCCAATGGCCAGTGACTGATCTGCCTCAGCCGGGAAGAGTGCAATGATAATACCAACATGGGCCAGTGAAGCGACGTCCTCCACAACTAGACTGAAGAACAAAAGGACAGCAACTTGTCTGTTCCCCTTCCCCCCAATCCCCCAGCACTGTTCCCATCCCCCAATTCCCCAATTTAAAAAAAACACCTACTATAGGGACTTGGACGTCTAAACCACAGACTTTTGGAACCAAAATTTTGACACTGCCATTGTGAATATATGTAAACATATTTGATTTGTATCTTGTTGAGCCATACAAAGGCTCCTCCATTCATTTTCAGCAGACTTCATTAGCAAGAGAATTAGAATCTTGGACTGAGGGGAACCTTTCCAAGAGCCTCCTATATTCCATCTTCCCTCTCAGATCCTCAGTTTCCTCATCTGTAAAATGGGATAAAGCACCTCCCAGGTTTTCTCCACTTTTAGAGTAATAAGTTGCATTCGTCCAGGAGCTGGGTCTGGAGGTTTTCAGAAGCCTGGTGAAAAGGTGGGCTTTTCACCTGCAGGCTGCCCTCTGTCCTCTCCCAAGGCTGGCTTAGGCTGGACCAAGAGTACCCACTTGCCAGGCTCTGGGACCTACTGTGCTCTGTCCCTCAACTGCAGGCCCAAGGCTGGTGCAGGAACAAGCCAGGGTCACCTCAGGCTTCACACAACATCTCCCTGCTTCCTCTTTTGTGGCTGGATAAATTCCTTTAAAGTGTGCATATGACCCGAGTGTCTCACACTGTCTTCCCTTTGGCGGGAACACACAAATCACGGTGACTGAAGGGCCTACCTGCTAGACTGCAGGAAGACCACCCTCTTATAGGGACCCTCTCCCTCGTATGTCGGGGAACTTCCAGAGATGTGCACTTGCTGCCCACCCCTCCCCTCAGATTATAAGCTCTCAGGCACTCGGTCCATTCATCCCATGGCTCTGCATGGCATCTGGTATGTGACAGGCATGCTGCAAGGTCCTGGGTACAGAGCAGTAAACAAAACAGGGTCTCTGCTCTCACGGCATTTACATTCGAACGGGGGAAGACAGTGAAGAAAGAAACATACGTCAGAGTGACATGAAGAAAAGCGAAGCAGGGTGTTCTTCCACGGAGCTCCCTGAAACAGACTCTGAGAGGGAGGGAGGATTGTGGCAGATTTATTGGGGAGCACTCTCCAGAGACCAGTAAGCAAGCTAGGAGGGCACAACAGGGCCGAGCGAGGAGCTGAGGCCTCAGCTGATCCTTGGAGCTGGATGGCCCTTCAGAGTTGTCCCAAACTGAGGGACAGTAGTAGGGCTTTGAGGTCCCGTATCAGCCCTTGGACATTGGCCACCACCTGGGAGGAGGTGGAACCTTGGGTGAGGCAGTTCCCTGGGGTCCAGGGCAATGCCCAGGAAAGGACATAGTTGTGAGCTACCAGCAGCTGGGAGGGGTGTGTCAGCCCTTAGGTCACAGGGTGAGAGTGCTCGACCAGGTAACCGGGGTCAGGGAGGGCCTCTATGAGAAGGTGATGTTTGAGTTGCGACTGAATGAAGCGTGGGAGCAGGCCAGGAAGACAGCTGGGGAAAAAGCAACCGCTGAGATGGGGATGGGATTGGTGTGTTTACAGAATAGCGAGGAGGTCAGGAAGGGCCTGCTAGAGCACAGGCTCCATCATTGGAACCCGTGTCTCCCACCCCTCACTCCAGCCCTGCAACAGCCCTCCCTTCTCTGCCAAAGAAGGAACCCAAGTCACAGATCAGCAGTCTCTGGGACCTCTCTTAGAGGTGTCAAAACTGCCAAAAAGCTGGGAGGGACTCAGAGGTCAGAGTGAGTTGGCTGTAACTCCAGCTTTGCCCCTGAGAAGGGACTTGTTTATCTTACTCTCTGCCCCATGGGGGTCCGGGAACCAATATTCACCATTCAACACGTGTACCCACCTATCGTTCCCCCAGCTGGCTTACACACTTCCGTCATGGGGAACTTTCTACCTCTCAATGCCTCTTTCCTTCTTTGGCAGCTCTGGCGACTAAGTGTTCTCACACGTTGGGAGGAACGTCGTCTTAGCACTTCAACCCAATGGTCCCAGCTCTGCCTTCCGGGGCCCCATACTCCGTGTCTTCTCAGCTAGGAGATTGCCCTGTAGAGATCTGAGGCTGGAAATTAAATGCCTCAAAACCAAATAGCCTGATGTCTGCCTCCCACTGAACTTCTAACCCACGCTTCAATCCACGGCTCACAGCGCCCACCTACTCCAGGCTGTTATCGCATAGCAAGGCCCAGGGACCCACTTCTTCAGCACGGCTGAGTGTGGCAAGGTGGAGTGAGGCCAGGCCCTCCCCCGCTCTGGACACTCTGCTTTGGTTATTGCCACCTGAGATCCTCAGTCAAGCCCACGCCAGACACTGCAGGCCACACCTCCTCACACCCAAAGCCTGCATCCAAGGTGTGGACTGAGTCCAGCCTGTCAGGAGCAAAATAGCCCTCTCCGGGCTTTCTGTCCCTCTCTCCCACCACACACACACACACACCACCACCACCACCACCACCACCAC